CTTTCTCTTCTAGGGGACCACAGGCTGGCGCTGCTCCTTTCCCAGCTGGTGGGCAGCCAGGAGGTTCGGGAGCTCATGGCCATGCAGTTGGCAGACTGGCACCAGCTGCAGGCCGACTCCTTCATCCAGGAGGAGAGGCTGCGCATCTTTGCTCTCCTAGCTGGCAAGCCGGTGAGTGGCAGACGTGAAAGCCAGGAAAGGTCGTCGCAGGTGCCCCTTGAAGGCTCCTGTCCCTTTCCTTCCCTTAGCATGAACTCTGTACCCTGGTTGGTTGGGCTCAGCTTAGAGATGTAAAATTTCCGGAAATTTTGAAGCTCGGAAAAAACCCCGGTTTACATTAGCATTTTTTTTTGTCTTTTCCAGATTGAAAGTCATTCTGTTACTTTAGGAACATAAAATATGACTATGGACATTTTTACTTGGCATGAAATTATCACAACTAGCATATTAAAAATATAGAGTATCCAAACAATGATTACAAACATCTTGTTCGTGCATTGGAGAGTTCAGTTTGTAACCTAGGACTTGCTTGTCCTCAATGCACAGAAATTAGATCAATCTGATACCATATATATATATATATATTAGAAATGATTTGGAAAATATTTGAACACCTTGTCTTAAAATATTTTATTCATCATGTTAAAACAAAACGTTCCATAATCAGTTTTTTTTCTTTTCTTTTTTCAATTTTTCCAGTTTTTCGGGGAAAAAACAAAAAAGGCTTCAGGAAAAAAACAGAAAAAACCCATTTTTTCCCTGAATTTTTCCGTTTTTTTTCCGGGCCTTCACATCTCTAGCTCAGCCCCTGAACCCTGGTTGGTTGGGCTCAGCCTCCGGGACAGGCGTCCGACTGCCCCGAGCTGCCTTTTGCAGGCTCCCGGTGGAAGGTTCGCCTGCCCCCGGCCCCAGCCAGCTGCGCCTCAGTCCTTCCATTCCTTCTGTAGGTGTTGCATTTGTCCGAGCAGAGAAGCATCAACGTCTGTTCCCAGCTGGACTGGAAGCGCACTGTTGGTGTCCACCTCTGGTACCTGCTTCCCTCCACGGCACCGCTGTCCCAGGCCCTTGGCATGTACGAAGCTGCGTTCCAGGTAAGCGGCAGATGTGGCTTTGCCGATCTGGAGCTAAAAGTGTAGGGCTGGTTCAGTTCTGCAGACCGCAACATGCTGAGGTTGTAGCAGCCATTATTTGAAGGAGAACCATAGGCACACACGGACTGCTACATAATCTCCATTCTATTTGACAGTTTGGAATCAGAACTCTATGGCCAGTCCCCAGGAGCATAAAGCAGATGTTCTAAATGTCACAGGTCCAAAAGCTCATGTGAAGTCATCAGAATTCTTGAAGTGGCAAGCTACAATCTCAGCATGCCACATGCACATGGTAACTCCAGAGCCAGTTTGGTGTTGTGGTTAAGAGCACGGACTCTAATCTGGGAGAACCCGGTCTGATTCCCCACTCCTCCACATGCAGCTGCTGTTGTGGCCTTGGGTCCTTTACAAGTTCTCTCAGAGCTGATTAAAAGAGATATCAAGTATCTGACGAAGGAAGTGTTGACTCAAAAGCTTAAAGAGAGCCAGTTTGGTGCAGTGGTTAGGAGCGTGGACTCGTAATCTGGGAAAACCAGGTTTCATTCCCCATTCCTCCTCCACATGCAGCTGCTGGTGTGACCTTGGGTCAGTCCCAAGTTCTCTCAGAGCTGTTCTCTCAAGGGCAGTCCTCGAGAGAGCTCTCTCAGCCCCACCCACCTCACAGGGTGTCTGTTGTGGGGAGGGGAAGGGAAAGGAGTCTGTAAGCCACTCTGAGACTCCAAGTGAAGGGTGGGGTATAAAGTCAATCTCTTCTTCTCTTCCAAACAAACCAGTATGGCAGGTGAAAACAGGAATGTCTCCTCCTGTGATGACTCTATTGTCTGGACTAGATGGAAGGCCAGGAGGTCCCTGGACCCCCAGAGGGTCCGTTCCGTTCCGCCCGCTGCTGCTGCTGCATTTTATTCCTCAGTCTGTTTTGTTCCTCCAGGACTCCTCCGCATCGGATAAGTACGCTTGTTCTCCGCTGCCTCCATATCTGGAGGGCTCAGGCTGTGTGGTTGAGGAAGGCGATCCACAGCACTCCGTGCAGGACGTGTGCTTCCACCTGTTGAAGCTGTACAGCGACAGGTAACCTTTTGGAAAGATTTCAAGTACAAAGAATATGGGTTGTGCCGCAAAACTCATGATTAATGAATGGCACAGCATTTGTCCCCGATTCAAAAAAGTCCAGCATAGAGATCAATGGAGGGGATGGGGGTAACCTGTTTGGGGGCCCGTAGAACTGGACCACCTGGTCCAATGTTCTTCAAACTTGGCTGGTATCTTGGGGAGAGGCCCCAGCAGATTACCTGCGAGTTTGGAGCCTGTCCCTCAAACCCCCTCTCCTCCAGCCCCCAGAATATACCCTGTGTTTTTGCCATTGAATTCAATGGCCCATAGGATATAATGGGGCTGAAACTGACATTCGGCTGGCCCAAAGACATTCGGCTGGCCCAATCTGCTCCTACTGCCGAAATTGACATGCAGGAGTCTTTATCCCGGCCGAAATTGATTCTGCCCGATTTGGCTGAATCCAAATCAGGCCGAATTATTATTTTTTGCACACCCCTAGTGGCAACTGTGGACTTCCTGGGTGGTCTCCCATCCGAGGACTAACCAGGCCCGACCCTGCTTAGCTTCTGAGAACGGATGAGATCGGGCTAGCCCGAGGCCATCCAGGTCAGGGGCTAAGCATGCATTTCATCTTGGGCTGGGACAGCCTTGCAAGTCCCCCCCTCAGAGGTCTGTTTTTCCACCCAGAGCATTGCCATCCTGTTTTGCCGTGTGGAACGGGACTTTCAGGTGCTGTCCAAAAAAAGCAGCAGACGTTTAAGAGGCTGTGACCATGGTGGAGGGAGGGGCTGTGGCTCCGTGGGAGAGCCTCTGCTTGGCGTGCAGAAGGTCCCGGGTTCAGTTCCCGTCATCCCCAGGCAGGAGGCGATGTGAAAGACCTCTGCCTGAGACCCTGCAGAAACATAGACAGGGGCTGTGGCTCAGTGGCAGAGCCTCTGCTTGGCATGCAGAAAGTCCACCGGTTCAATCCCCGGCATTTCCTGCTAAAAAGGGACCAGGCAGGAGGTGATGGGAAAGACCCCTCTCTGCCTGAGACCCTGGAGAGCTATGGGGACGGGCTGTGGCTCCATGGCAGAGCCTCTGCTTGGTGTGCAGAAGGTCCCGGGTTCAGTTCCTGGCATCCCCAGTTAAAAGGACCAGGCAGGAGGCGATGTGAAAGACCTCTGCCTGAGACCCCGGAGAGCTATGGGGACAGGTTGTGGCTCAGTGGAAGAGCCTCTGCTTGGCATGCAGAAGGTCCCGGGTTCAGTCCCCAGCATCCCCAGTTAAAAGGACCAGGCAGGAGGCGATGTGAAAGACCCCTGCCTGAGACCCCGGAGAGGCACTGCCAGTCTGGGTAGAGACAGGACTGACCTTGCCCTGAGTAGTCAGGATAAAGCCGCTCCACGTGTTTATGTGACCACCTGCAGGCCTGGCTAGAGCCCTGATCCCTGGTGTGGCTTCCTTCCCAGGTGCTATGACCTCCATCAGCTGCTGGACCCTCGGAGCATCACGGCCAATCCCTTAGACTATCGCCTCAGCTGGCACCTCTGGGAAGTGCTGCGTGCCTTGAATTACACCCACTTGTCGGAGCAGTGCCAGGGCGTGCTGAATGCCAGCTACGCGGCCCAGCTCGAGAGGGAGGGGCTGTGGGAGTGGGCGGTCTTCGTACTCCTTCACACGCCCAACGCACAGTAAGTCTGGAGTCCCGCAGCAGAGCCGCGTACTTCCGTGCTATAAAACGGCTCAAGCCATAGGTCTGTTCTCTTCCTTACCCTTTGGGGAGGGGCTGTGGCTCAGTGGCAGAGTAACTGCTTGGCCTGTAGAAGGTCCCCTGGGTTCAGTCCTCCAGCATCTCCCGTTGAAAAGGACCTGGCAGGAGGTGACTCCAAAGACCTTTCACTGCCTGAGACCCTGGAGAGCCGCTGCCAGTCTGAGTAGGCAATACTGACCTTGAATGGAACAGTGGTCTGATACGAGGCAGCTTAAGGGATCATGTATCCCTCACAGCCATAAAATGGGGGTATCTTCTAAAACTGGGAGTCTGATTTCTGGCAGACTTTATCCATCACTCATTTAAGTGATTTGAGGGACTTCCGGTCTATGGTGGCGCGCTAGCAGACTCTCCTCCCGGACCTCCCGGGGGTGAGGCTGCGCTCCTGCCGAAGGAGGGGGTGCGCAGGCTCGCTTACCCCCCCAGAGACCCGGGGAAGGGACTCTGGCCATGGAACTTCTAAGAGGTTGCCTCTTCGAGGGCGGAATGCCGGAGAATTGAGGCACCTCTTCGTTCCGACGGTTCTACGTGCTGTGAGAGATTTAGTGACGTTGACCGGGGCAAGCGTGGGAGATCGAGCATCAGAAATGAAGCTGAAAGCAAGGTCGAATGACCAATTATGAACGTGAGTCAGCTTTAAAGCGTTTTTAAAGGGAAAAAGCTAGCTCCCCACCCCACTGAACAGGAAAAAGGCGAGCGGGGGAGGGACGCCTCCCAAGCACATGAATTTTTGAGCGACTGAGGGGGGGAGTGGAAGAAAATGCGAAGAAAACTGTTGAGAAGTACTTAACAAAGCGAATCTAAGCGGTCAAGTGCACATTCAGAGACTTGTAAAGAGTGATTCGGGTGGGTAGCCGTGTTGGCCTGAAGCAGCAGAAAACAGTTCAAGTCCGGTGGCACCTTTTTTTAATTCAAAGCGTCAGCTTCCGTATGCAAGCACACTTCCTCGGCTACATTGAAATGGAAGTTGCCAGTCCATACATATAGGGAGAAGGTGGGCAGCGAACTAGCCTAAGCGTTAGAAAAGATGTTGCACTGACGCAAGGACCAAACTGGGAGAACAACAAGCTTTAGTCGATGTGGTCACCATCTGTTTGGGTTTAATTCTGGAGAGAAGACAGTGAAGGAAATAAATATGTCTACGTTGGAGATTCCCCCCCCCCCCAAATCAGTTTTATTCAATTTTCTCATTAACTCATTAACATTATGCAAGATAGGCATATACATATAATTAACATATTTTTCGTTATACATACAAAAAGTGCCTTAATCAGTCTAATCTATACTGTGGTGAGGATTTTTTCTGTACAGATCATACTATATATCAAACTGTGTAAAGGTAAAGGTTCCCTTGCTCGAAAGCCAGTCGAGTCCGACTCTAGGGTTGCGGTGCTCATCTCCGTTTCAGAGCCGAAGAGCCAACGCTGTCTGAAGACGTTTCCGTGGTCATGTGGCCGGCATGACTAAACACCAAGGCGCACAGAACGCTGTTCCCTTCCCACTGAAGTGGTACCTATTTATCTACTTGCAATTTCTTGCTTTCGAACTGCTAGGTTGGCATCAAACTGTGTATTGTGCTATAAACGCTGCAAAAGGCGAAGAGTACCTATTACATCGGGTATTGAATCTTTGGTAGTTAGGTATGATAAGATAGAAGACCATATACATGTAGTGTCATTGTGTTCTCCTTTGGGTTTGATTTGTTTAAAGATATCTGTGTTTTTTCCCCATTAAGTATAGATTCCGTAATTTCTTGTACCAGAGGTTTACGTTCAGAGTGTTTTGGGACTTCCATGTGGATGCAATTGCGGTTTTAGCTGCAAACAGTAATAGGCTGATTCTTTTCTTAAGTGTTAGAGATAGAGCAGTTTCGTCTCTGAGATTCAAGAGTAGTGCTTCTGGGGTTTTGTCTGTTCTATGCTCAGTTACAGTCCTTATTTCCTCTATTATTTTGTCCCAGAAAGACGCTACGATAGGGCATTCAAACCAGCAATGTATGTAGTTACCTGTTTCTTTACATCCCCTCCAGCAAAGGCGACCGGCATTGCTGGAGATGTATGAAATTTGTTGAGGAGTTTTATACCACTGCATTGGATGGGCAGAGGTGCCCTTCTTAATGGTGGGATGCTGAGAGCGCGGCCCTGTTAGCTCCATCTGTCTTACCTCAAGCGTGGAGGCGGCCTTACAGCATCCTCTTCTTTGAGGTGGGGCGGTTGGTGGGGGGGCAGAGGAGAATACCCTGCAGAGCCAGTCAGGAGTCAAAGACCCCTCCCGATCCAGCTGCGTGGCTAACGTGTTGCTTTCCCCACGGCGTGTCCCCGCTAGCGTTCGCGAGAGGGCGGTGCGGGAGCTCTTGAGCCGTCACTGCATGCTCTCTGAGACGCCGGACTCCTGGGCCAAGGAGACTTTCCTCATGGAGCGGCTGTGCGTGCCGCCGGAGTGGATCTACGACGCCAAGGCAGTGAGGGCCCGGATGCAGGGGGACAACCACAAGGAGGCCCTGTTCCTGTCCAGAGCCGGGCACTGGAACCCGTGTCACAGGCTGGTCGTCAGGCACTTGGCGGCAGGTAAGGAAACCCAGGTCGGGCGCCCCGGGCTGTGTCGGCCCTGCCTCCTCCCCTTGAGCACGGCTTCCGGTCACCCTCCAGGGCCAGCAAGCCTCTTTCCTTCCAGCTCACAGTTCTTTAGCCTCCGGCTCACACGTTTTTGCCTCCGCTCAGGAAGGACGGGCTCCAGAGCGGTGTTCCCTCTAAGCTGAGTTAGTGTGAGCCAGCTCACAGTTCTTTAGCCTCCGGCTCACGGGTTTTTGCCTTCACTCAGGAAGGACGGGCTCCAGAGCGGTGTTCCCTCTAAGCTGAGTTAGTGTGAGCCAGCTCACAGTTCTTTAGCCTCCGGCTCACACGTTTTTGCCTTCGCTCAGGAAGGACGGGCTCCAGAGCAGTGTTCCCTCTAAGCTGAGTTAGTGTGAGCCAGCTCACAGTTCTTTAGCCTCCGGCTCACACGTTTTTGCCTTCGCTCAGGAAGGACGGGCTCCAGAGCGGTGTTCCCTCTAAGCTGAGTTAGTGTGAGCCAGCTCACAGTTCTTTAGCCTCCAGCTCACACGTTTTTGCCT